CTATATATACTAGTTTGCATCTGCTAACCCAAAACTCCCACTCCATCGCTCCCTTCCCCCTTCCCCCTTGGAAACCACAAGTCTGTTATCCATGTCTGTCTGTGAGTCTGTTTCATAAAAGTTCATCTGTGTCATATGTTAGACTCCACAAATAAGTGTTATCATACAGTATTTATCTTTCTTTCTGTTTCTGACTTCATTTGGTATGAGAATCTCCAGGTCCATCCATGTCGCTGCAAATGGCATTACTTCACTCTTTTCCTGGCTGAGTCGTATTCCACAGTATAAATGTGCCACATCTTCTCTATCCATTCATCTGTCCATGGACATTTAGGCTGTTTCCACGTCTTGGCTATTGTGAATAGTGCTGCTGTGAACAGAGGGGTGTACGCATCTTTTTGAATTATATTTTTGTCCAGATATATTGAGCCGACCTACTTAGTGTCTGGGACCCCTCTCCTCAGGTGTTCCTGTCTGGTTCCATTTATCAGCCACCTCAGCCAGCGTCAGACCTACTGCCTGGGCTGTGGGCAGCCCCAGGACGAGGGGGACACAGAGAATTCGGTGGCCTGCAGTACCCCAGGCTGCGGAGGTGAGAGTTCCGGGGAGGATGCCTCTCTGCTGGGGCTCCCAGCATTTGTATATGACAATCAGCTTTTATGGACTTCTGTGCCTCACCTTTTGTACCCCTCCCTTCGTTATGACGCGTGTCCTCATTTACACGGAACCCTCAGGTAGCTCCTTTTCTCTGTGTGCCTTAATCCTCCAGTGCAAGTAGAATTCCTATGCAAGTGGTATTGCAGCAGTTCCCAGAGTGCATGGTGTGATGGTCTCCCCCTTGGGTGGAGTTGGGGAGGCAAGGGCTGAAAGCTCGGAGCACAGTGCCGGGGTGGGGGTGGGGGAACAAGTTCAATTTCTCCCCTCCTGGCCTCCTCCAGGTCTCTTCTGTCTCTCCTGCTTCCGTCTCCTGGACAACACCTGCTCCGTGTGTGCGTCTCCCCTCTCCTACCAGGAGGGGCTGGACCTAGAGCTGTGAGTCTCAGGCGACATGGGCTGGCTGGAGACTGTGGGGGCAGTGGGAGCGGCCACCCCTCCTGCAGGACTTCTGTGGGTCACTGAGATGGGAGGCTTCTCAAAAGGGACTCCAGTGACGAGGAGGGCCCCCGCCTATGGCTGGCTGCCGCCCACCGAAAGGGTCCTGAGCAGGAGGTGCTCCTGCGGCAACAGCTGGAAGCGCTGGGCAGGACCCTCTCATCAGATTCCACGTCGGAATCCAGGTGAGCAGCAAACTTCAGGAGTCGGGGCTGGGAGGCCTAAGCATGTTCAGTCACATTTATCAAGGGTTTCTTGGGTGCCTGGCCCTCTGCTAGAGCTGGAGAGATAAAAGAGGTGTGGGGAGGGAGGTTTGCCCCGTGCCTGCTGGGTCAGCACCCCTGTCCTGGGGTGAGTCGGGGAGAGTGGCATCAAGTAGATAAGTGACAATGTAGAGAGCGCCCCAAGTGAGGAGTGAAGCAGGCTCTGGGAAGCACAGAGGACAGAACACCCAGTTTGGGATGGAGGGATATTAATGAAGGCTTCACAAAAGAAGTAAAAAAAGTAGGTAGGTTTGATTTTCACTCAGAGAGCCAAGTATATCAAATGCTGTGAGATTATCCAGTAGGATGAAGCCTGGAATCCAGAGGGTTTGTTAGGCTGAGGCGTGCAAGAGAACATTCCAGGGGGAGGCTTGTGTGAGTCTGGAGAATAGGGGACACTTAGAGGTGGGGGAGGGTCAGGGAGGGGTGTATTTGTGGCTAGGTGGAGACAACAGAGCATACTGGGAGATGAGGTTGGCCATCAAGGCGGGGAGAGGCGGGAGAGGGCCTCAGTTTACCACCTGAAGATCCTCAGTCAGAAAGTGATGTATTCGTATTTGTCTTTTGGGGCAATAAGCTAAGAAGGCAGAGTGGAGGCAGGGTGGGAGCAGGGAGACCAGAGAGGAGGCTGTCTTAGCTCAGGAAAAGTTGGTGATGGCCTCAGGATTGAGGTGCTGAGAATGACAGGGAGCTTGTGTTCGGAACTGGGTGGTGTTAGGGCAAGAGGAGAAACAGGTTCTGCAGAAAGAATGGCCCAGTTCTAGACCTTTCAGGTATCTGTAGGGAATCCACTGGGAATGCCCAGGGGACAGTTAGAAAAGGGCAGGGCTCTGGGCCAGAGGTATCTTTTGGGGGGTTGTTGACTTGGACACTGAGAGAGATGAGCTGGATCACCCTGGTGGAGGGCAGGGCAACAGAGGAGGGGGCAGGGACAGGACCCTGAGACGCTCCTTCACAAACCAAGGAGGGGAGAGACTCAGCAACAGAGAGCCGGGTCCAATGCTGTGAGATGAGCAAGTAGGATGAGGCCTAAAGACCGGCCATTGAATTCAGTGGTCAAGAGATTCCTGGAGTGGCTTGTGGGAATATTTCTCATGGCGTGGGGAAGGCCAAAACCAGTCGTCGTGGGTTGAGGGGGGTGACTGGTAGAGGACTCAGAAACAGGGTACATGGCTCTGTGTCACTGTTGCAAGAAGTTTGGGAATTCTTTTTTTTTTTTAATATAACTGCTGTAGTTTAAAAAAGGAAGCTTGATGGTAAAGAGGAGAGAGTTAGCTTCATAGAACAAGAAAGTAGCTTGAAGGGAACCTTAAAGATTTTTCTTTATCCAATAAAAAGCTTTTTCTTTACCCAAGTATGGGGAGATTTGAGGATTTCAGAGATGAAAAAAGTGTTGAAGAGTGAGAGATGCCGGAGAGATGGGATCTAGGGCCAGGTGAACAGGGTGGCCTCAAATAGGACCGGGCTCGCCCGAGGCAGGAGGGGAGAGGGCATGTTCCTCCCAGCAGAGCTGAGCCTGCTCCAGTCTGGTGGCCTTGCTTTTCTCAGGGTGAGGGGGTGGGGGTGGGGACTGGGGGTGGGGATAGGAGGCATGCACACCTGCCGAAACAGTAAAGAATGGGGCTGGGAGTGGAATAAAGGTTTCAAGGAGTGGGTGGTGGAGGTTGAAATGCTTGCCTTGGGGAGTGTGCAAAGGAGCCAACTGGGGAGGTTAAGAGATTTCCAGGGAGCGTTAAAGGCTGAGATGAAGTTGAAAATCATCACGTGTAATGACAGACTCCAGCGTGCTTGGATACGTGGTTTTCTCAAGCAAATGTGGTAGCCATGAATGGGCTTCCAAGGTTGAAGGCTTTTTCTGGGCCAGTCAGGAGATGATGGGGTGAGAATTGGGGTGCTTTGGTCAGAGTATCTAAGATGACTGGGGAAGAAAAAGGGGTTGAGACCCCAGAGGGCAGTCCAAGGTCTATGTGTTGCTGGGGTGTTAAAGCCGAGGCCAGGAGGGATGCAGACAATGGGCCAGGCCCAGGAAGAATCCGGGGGATAAATCCAGAGAGTGGCCAAGATTGAGGGTGATGTCCGAGTAGGAGCAGAGAGGAAGGTCATTATGGCCAAGGAGGTTGAGGATTGGGAGGCCAGTGTGTTGGAAGAGTCTGCCCACCAGCGAGAAGGCAGCTGGGCCACAAGAGCGGCTCAAGTCTGGTACCAGCACCCTGGATGGGTATGGCAGGACGTCGGCAGGGCCTGGGGAGATAGGCACAGCCTGGGGGTGTAGCTTCCATGGCAGCCAAGGGCTTTGCAATATGCCAGAGGTATGCCAAGTCTGAGAAAGACAAGCAACCTCCACTTGGGAGGACTGAAGAGAAAACTGTCCAGTGGTCACATTCCAGTATGAATGGGGCACTGGAAGTTAGTAATGAATTCAGAGGTTGAAGGGGAAGGAAAGTTTTATTTTGAGCGGTTCCAGAGGGCTCAATGAAGTTAAAAGCCGGGTGGCCAGGGAGGATCACTACAGCCTTGAGTGAGTGTTATTTCCAAGGTCACTACTGGTTCTGCCCTTGCAAAGCACATGACCTTGGGCACATCATTGCCCACTCATCTCTCAGCCTAAAGTCAGAAGATATCTACAGACACACGCTGCCTTGCCTTGGAGGGGCCTGTGAGAGCCGCAGTGGCTGGAAAATAACAGGAGCCAAATCTGAATAGACAGGGCAGGGGCAGGAGGCAGGAAGTCACCTGTGAAAACAGAATACTGGTGACTGGGCCACCCACTTCCTTTCCTCATTAGTGACCTGGATGAGGAGAAGGGGCCTCAGGAGAGAAGGCACAGGTAGCCACCCCCACCTGAGGCCCAGTCTGTCAGCATCTCCCCCCACTGACCACCTCAGAAATCCTCTGCCCACAAAGCAGCCCCTCTCCTGCTTCAGAACCTGCAGTCCCCCTGTCTCATTTCCCTCTCCTCCCCATCCCGCCCACTTATCTCCAAAATAAAGAAACCAAAGGTGGACACAAGTGTGAATCTTAAATTATTATTATTTCTTCCTGTCGCTTACACCCGAGGTGGGGGGCAAGGGAAGGGGAGGGGAACAGGAGAGGGGGGATCGCCTCCCCCCTTAAGGCACTGAGTGGAGAAGCCGCAAGGGGGGAGGGGGGAGGCCACATTGTCCTCACTCCCTGGGGCTGGGCCCCGGGTCTCCTCAGCCCTGGGCTCCCCCATCACCTGAAATGCAAAGATGAGGCCCAGAGCAACCTGACCTCCCCCTACCCCAATATATTACATCATCACTTTTTAAATAGAGACAAGGACTGGTCCCGCTACCCCCTCCCTGTGACCCCCCCCCGTTATCGGGGGTACCTGGGCAGCTGTGCAAATGGGCATGGGGGTGCATGGGAGGGAGGGAGAGCACCGGGCCCCTGAACCTGCCCCTTTTAAGGAGGGGGGGGGCCGCCAGGCCAGGGAGGGGAAATAGTGCAAGGCAGAGCCCAGGCCCGAGCGGGGTCCAGCACCCAGCGAGGAAGGGGGGGAGATACCCCCACCCCCAGCAGAATTGGGTAGTTAAAAATCTGAAACTAGATTTCAACAAGACCAACAGAAAAGGCTATGTACAGACCAGGGGCGGATTCAATCCTAAGGGATGAGTGAGGGAATTATTCTCCCCACCCCAGCAGGGAGCCCTGGCAGGCAAGGGTCTGAGGGGAGGAGTCCTTTCCCACAGGGCCGCAGCCCACTTTCCCTGGGGGCGGGCGAGCAGTTCCGCGACCCGGCCTTGGCAAGGGGGCGCGGCTCACCCGCTGGGGCGGTGGAGGTGGAGAAGACGGCTCCCTGGCAGTGGCCGCCAGGGGCGCTCGCCCGCGCAGGGCACAGCCGCCAGATGGCGCCGGCTGGCCCGTTCTCCGCCAGGCTCCCCCTCAGCCCCTCACCCGGTCCCACACCCTGCACCGCGCCAGCCCGGGGGCGGCGTGAGTCAGGGGCGGCAGCGGTGGTGGCGGCGGCTCGCACCTGGGCGGGGAGGAGGTGGGGAGGAGGAGAAGAGGGTAGGACACCGCCCGGCCCGCCCTGCCCTCTGGCCCCGGGGAGGGAGCGGCGGGAACAAGACATTCCCTGCCCGGGGACGCGGGAGGGGAGGGCAGGGGAGGAGAACCGGCAGCGGCTCCCCTGGCTGGGCGGGGCCCTCCCGCTGCCCCCAGGGGCGGGCGAGCCAATCAGGCCACCCCGCCCCCTTCTCCAGGACCCCATGACTCAGCGCTGGGAGAAGGGCGGAGGGGGACTGGGATGGCTCCTTCCTTACAGGCCCAGTCCCCGTCTTTCAAGCTTTTACCTTGCTTTCCCCCACTTACTCTTCCTTTGCCGCCCCCCTTTGCATAATTCACTGCCAGGAAAAGGGAACAGAAACCAGGAAGGAGGGGTCTCGAAAGGGAGGGGCAGTCCTTCACCCCCTTACACAGCCAAAACCCCAAGGGGCATGGGGGCAGGGTAAGGCTTTGGTCCCAAGCCCCCCACCCCCTAGAAACCCGCATAGCCGAAGAGGGACCCCACAAATCAGAAATACATTATTGCTTCTACTCCCCAGGAGCAGCTGGGGACAGGGACCCCACCTTTACAATGGAGCTGCAAATATATACATAATATCATATGTATCACTCCTTGGGAAAGCACCCCAATCTGGGGAGACTCTGCCCCAAAACCTTCTCAGCTTGGAACTGGAATGAGGGCTCTGAGGGAAGGAGCCTGTTTCCGATGCCAGGGAGACTCAGTGCCTGAATCCCCAGCGCCGTCTCTGCTGCATACACTCCCATTGCTTGGCATGGGCCTCCCCGGTCCCCGTGCCGCTCCAACTCGGCCACTCGTCCCTCTTTAAGCGGTGTCCATGGCACCTTCAGCCTGAGGTGTGGTGGGTGCCCCCTCCTCCTCCTCGTCATCAGGGGGCCCTGGGGTGGAGTCTGGGGGCCCGGTAGGGGCGGATGTCTCCCAGAATCGAGCCAGAGACAGGCGGAAGGTGTCCAAGTGGCCGTTGGAGAGGTCGAGGCCGGCAGGGGACGAGGTGGCGGCGGAGGGCGGGGGGTAGTGAGGGGGCGCATCGTCCTTGCGGCGCCGCCGGGTGCGCACCTCCAGGCAGTTCTGGCCCTTGAGGTGGCGCTGCAGGTGGTCCTCCTTGGCGAAAGCCTTGTGGCACAGGTGGCACTCGTAGGGCCGGTCCCCTGTGTGCAGGTGCATGTGGTTCTTGAGGTCGTAGCTGTGCAGGAAGCGGGCCGGGCAGTGCGAGCACGAATAGGGGCGCTCTCCGGTGTGCTTCCGCATGTGGATCTTCAGCTTGTCATTCCTGGGAGGGCGGGGGAGGGCGAAGGGAGCCGGTCAGCCGGGGTCCCCAGGTCGTCCGGGCCAGGTTCCCCGGCCTCGTCCACTCCTGTCCCCTAGCGCTCCTTGCCCTATTTCTGCTCCGGGAGACCCTTGCTGACTTAGCCCCAGGTTAACCACCTGCCTCCAGCACAGTCCGATCTTTAAGGCCCGACACCCACCTTCCCTGACTTTCTTTCTCCTGGTCTCTCTCCCCAGCCTGGGGACCACCCCACAGACCCTCCAGGATCACCTCCCTCCACAAGCCCTTTCTCCCTCGCGCCACCCTCCAAGAACAACATGGCCCCTGCTGGGCCTCTTCCCCCTGGTGCTCACCGGGTGAAACGGACGCCGCAGACTTCACAGGCGAAGGGCTTCTCACCCGTATGGGTCCTCATGTGGCGTGGCAGTTTGCCCGCCCCGTGGATGATCTTGTGGCAGACGGGGCACTCCTGGGGCATCTGGGAGCGGCGTTTGCGCACCAGCTTGTCCTGGCTGTCCAGGCCCGCTGGCAGGGTGTCCTGGTGCAGGGAGCTGAGGTAGGCCATCAGGTCAGGATCGATGGCATCCTCGTCTGAGCCCAGCTCCTCTGGGGACAGCGGGGGCCCGCCGCCCTGTGCCAGCCCGTAGGGCGGGGGGTACACCAGCTCCTCCTCTTCTTCCTCACCCTCATAGGCCTCGTAGCTCAGGGGCCTCTCGGGGGGTGAGGCAGTCCCTGTGGGAGGGCTGTAGCTGTCCCCCAGCCCGCTGCCCCCGCTGCTGCCCACTCTGCCCGCCTCCTCCTCCTCCTCGTAGGTTAAGGGCTGGGTGGGCACGTCGGGCACCAGGTGGTTGGCCCGGGCCCCCTTGGTCTGCAGGAAAGCTTTGCGGGGCTTGCGGCTGCGGCGGGCAACAGGCCGAGGCGGCGGTGGCGGCGGCGGCGGGAGGGGTGCCTGTGGAGGGCTGTCATCTCCGTTGGGGACTCCCGAAGCTGAGGCGGTGGCTGTACAGGCGAAGGCTTCCAGGTACTGCCGCGCGCGCTCACAGTCGTCCTCGTCCGGGCTGGGCGCCTCTAGTCCGCTGCCCTGCAGAATCTCCATGCAGGCCGCGATGACGCAGGGGATCTCCAGCAGCCGTGCGGCCTGCAGCACTGCCGGCATGTTGGCGCTGCTGGTGGTCAGGGTGGCTGTGTAGGCAAACTCGAGCAGGGCACCCAGTGCCTCCGGCCCCACAAAGTCCAACTCACACACGCCGGCCCCTGCACCCCCGGCAGCTGTCCCACTGCCCCCAGTGCCCGAGAGCGCGCCCCCACCACCCTCGGTGAAGAGCTTCTTGAAGTAGTGGCTGCAGGCAGCCAGCACAGCCCGGTGGGTGCGGTACTCCAGGCCCTGCGTCCGGATGGTGAGGTCACAGAGGTGGCCCAGCTGGCGCTGCTCATTGAGGCAGCTCAGGAGCTCACTGCTGTGGTCTGGGAATGGAATCCCGATCAGGTCATCCTCAGGGCTCCCCATCTTCTCCTGCGGAGCGAAGGAAAAGGGGAGGTTAGGAGCACTCAGCCCTGCCAGGGGGCCCAGAGAGGGGATACGAACACTGGCCATGAGTCTAGGCCCTTCAAGTACTTTACACTCATTTCATCTTCCACGACCTTCTAAAGTAACAATTATCTATTTCACAGACAGGAACCTGAGGTGCAGACAGGTGAAGTGACTTTCTATATTAAGTGCGGAACAGGTTCAAAGCCAGGCGGCCGGCCGAGCCATGTTCCTAACCACTGTGCATCATTCTGCCTCAGTGAGCACGGGAGCTCTGCCTTTCTGGCCTTTCCTAGAGACCCATCTGCTTCACCTGCCCCGTTCCCATCCCTTTGGAAGAAGCACTGGTCTGGGAGAAAAGATGCCTGTGTTCTAGTTCAGGCTTCATGAAGAACTGGCTGAAGGACTCTGGGTGCCTCTTGCAGCTAGCCTCAGGCATCTGAAAAGTGGGGTCACAGTCTCCGTGATGGAACCTCCTCTCAACCCAGAGAGAGGACAATGAGAGAGTTCAGATTCACATTGGGCCAAGGTCTGTTCAAGGCAAGGTCAGGTCCTTTAGCTCACATTATCTCCCTACAGCATTTGGTGCACTATAAAACACTAGGCAAACCTGGGAGGTGGCTCCCCAGGACCCCACCTCCTCCTTCCCCACCCACTAAAAGTTCATCTCCCCTTCTAGATCTCCCCCTTGTAGAGGCCAAAAGGGAAACACAGCTCCCAGCATACCTCCCCCCACATCCTCCCCTCCCCCATGGGGCCAAGGAGCAGCCACCCTTTGCTGGGGTGTCGCTGGCGCTGGCGCGGGTGCTTCCTGCCCCGCACCGATAAGCATCGTCCCCGCCCCTCCCCCCCTGCCAATAGGCCAAGTTCCAGTCCTACCCCTCCTCCACTGGGCTACCACCACCACCCCTCCCTCTCCATTCCTGGCCAGTCAGGAGAGTCCCTCCTCTCCAGAAGACCTTCTTCCACCCTCTGTGCTCTCCTCCCCAAGGCACAGCCATGGAAGGCAGTCCCAAGGCTGGTGGAGGGAGGCGGGTGACAGAATGAGTCTGGCCTGGAAGCGAGGAGATCAGCTTCTAATCCTGGCTCTGCTACTATCTTGCCAAATGACCTTGGCCAAGTCATTTCTCTCTGTGCTTCAGTCTCCTCATGGTACACAAGGAGTGGGTGGGGATGAAAGCCGCAGGGGCTCAGCCCTTCCACGCTGACATTTGGTGGTCTGGATCAACTGGAGACAGAGTTGAGGCCTGAAAAGAGCTGGACTCTGGAGTCATCCAGGCTTGAGTTTGAATCCTCACTCTAAGGCTGATTAGCTCTATGATTCTTAAACAAGTTGTTTAATCTCTGAACCTTCTTTTCCGTCTGTAACATGGGATAATTCCACCTGACTGCTAGGGCTGTGGTGAAGGTTAAATGAGCCTGTGGGTGGCACAATGCCTAACATATAGTAGGGGCTCAATAAAAGTTCTGGCCTTGGGAGGGAGAAACCAACCCTCACCCGGAGGCAGACTGCACTATACAGATGGTCTCTGTTGGGAGAAAGGTCTGTCTCCCTCCGTCAAATCACCCAGGGGGAGTCCAGTTACTACTAGCTACATGACCTTGAACCAGTCACTTTCTTTCCTGTTTCCTCATCTGCAAAATTAAAGACTGACCTGGATGATCCCTAGGGCAAGTCCCACTGACAGTTTGTCAGTGTCTTCTCTGCCACTCCCAACAACTGCTCAGTTTCGGCCACTGACAGGGAAGGGTTTTGAGGGGGTCGGAGGAGTCGAGGGCTACAGGTTTCCTTTTGAGGACACAAGAACTGCATCGTCTCTGCCTGCCTCCCCGTCTTCACTATAGCATCCGGATGCCTGCGTGGAAGCCTTGAGTGAGCAGCACCCATGTGCTGGCTCATAAGCCACAGTCAGACACCCTCAGATAGCCCACCCCTTCCCACCTTAAATCCACAAAACACTTCTCTCCCTGGAGACCAAGCAGTCTGGGAGCACTCCCAGTTGCCTTGGGTTTCCCCACCTGTACTTTACAAATAGTTCAAGTGGCAAATGGCCCCGGGACTTAGGAGCAAACAGAACCAGGTGGGCAGCAGCAGTGGCCACTCAAGTGGCAGCGGCACCCTCCCGGGCCCAGGTGAATCCTGACCCTCCTGAGGGGGTGGGTGGGGCTGTCCTCGCTGTCCATTGGCCCGGAGCTGTGCACCCGCAGGCACGTGGCTCACCCTCCCGTCCCTCTCCCTTCTTCCCTCCACACCCCATCCATTCCCGCTGCTTAAGCCCGCCTCCCTTCTCCCACCCCAGGGCCATCTCCGTGGCAACTTGGTGTGGCAGGGTTGCTGATTGGCTGACCCTGCTGTCAGGTCACAGGCTCAGGCTGGTTCATGATGCAGATCACACGGGGCTTGGGCAAGGGTGGGTGTTTAACCCCTAGGGCCTAACTCCAAAGCCCACGGCCATGCGGTAGCAATGAAGGAAGAGAGAGGCAGAGGACCCATTTGGGAAGGGGAGGTGTTCCTACGGGTCTCTAGCTTCTGGGAAACTCCCCTAGCCCTTACCCAGGGCTCTGGCACCCATGCTAACTTAGGTGCCACCTGGAGCTAGGCTGGTGCCAACCAGGCCAAGGGGGCACTCCAGGCCCCATCATCTGGGAGGGCTTGATGGGGACGAACTCCCCCCTTCTTTCTGCCAGGGTGGGGCACTGATGCCAGGGTGCCCACCCCAACTTGGGCACCCTTCCCACCTCTGTATCCCAGAGGGCCCAGCCCCCCGACGCCCATGAGGACGGCCCATCTCCACCCAGCCTGGCATGCCCCCTCTTGCTAAGACCTTGTGGGCATGGGTGTGTGTGGTGGTTGGTGGGGGGGCAGCTGTGCCAGGGATTCAGGGAAGGTCTGTTTGCCTGGTAGGGGGAAGAACTGGGGGCCCCGCCCCATCTCTCCCCCCTTTCCCGTCACCCCCCCCCCCCAGGGCTCCCCTCACTGTCAGGCCTGCTAGACCGGCCAAGCCGGTGGGCAGCTCTCTTGAAACTGGGCCCTGAGTCAAGCTTGCCCCATCTTTGGTGGGGGAAGACTTTAGGGATAGAAAAGTATGGGGGGGAGCGGCAAAGGAGGGAGCCCCTATCACCTACCCCTCAGTGCCCAAAGGCACCTCCCAAGGTGTGTCCACCACCAAGAAACCAAAAGGCAGAGGGCACTGGCCCTGGCACGGGAGGGAAAAGGAGGCTGAAAGTCTTTCCAGGTGCTGACCTCAGGCAGTGTCCAGTGAAGGGCTGGGGGATACCAGGGCCAACACTGCCGGCTTGAGCCAGCTGCAGAGCTGGGATACGAGGCCCTGAATGGGGCGGCTGAGTAAAGCTGGCCCCCCTTCCCCACACCCTGGGGATTAGGGGAGTGAGGCTTAGTGTGGGGGGCAGCAGGCGGAAACAGGATTAGCAGCGGAGAAAATAGATATGGGCCTGAGACTCAGGCACACAGAGCACCCCCTCCTTAGGCTCAGAGGCCCCCACCTCCGGGCTCTGCCAAAGAGCCCGAGAGGGACCTGGCCAGCTTCTCCAGGTGTAGCAGCTTGGAGTGAGGATGACGGCCAGGCTGTGATGCCTCCTGCCAGGGTGATGGAGAGGCCTGACGCTCTTCCCACCTTGGCTGGCCACCCTTCCCCCTTACTTCTTTCTCCTTTCTCCCCCCCAACCCCCACCCCAACTCCAGCCTCAGGTTCTCTTCCTGTTTTTTTGGAGCGAAGTTTGCACGAAGCCAGGGCTTTGGCCTGTGGCTGGACCAGGGCGGGGGTGGGGAAATAGGACAGCCAGTCCAAAGTCCTCAGGGACCCAGGAATCCTAGCTCCCCAGCTTCTTCCACCCTTTCTTAGGGCCTCTGGCCCAGGGGCTGAAGCCATCTTGACTGCCCAGTTGGAAAGGCAGGGTGAGGGGTGGAGGTGAATCCCCTGGAGGACTGGAAGGACTTCGAAGGAGAGGCCCTCGGCCCAGGATGCCCCAGACATGTATGGAGCCTTTCCCTCCCCACCCAGCCCCTCCAAGCTAGTACATGCCTTCCCCATCCCCCATATGTCGCTTCCCCCTCCTAACCTCACCACCCCCAGCACTCACACTTCCTGGGGGCCGAGGCGGGGAAGAGAGACCGCAAGCCACGAAGGGGGAAGGAGGCAAGGGGAGTTGGCTGCTTCCCGGTGCTGTGGGGGTTAAGCCTCTCCTCCCTCAAAATCCCCAATTCCTGGTGCTTCAGCTCTTGACAGGAGGGAGACCTCAGTGTTCCCCCACACTTTCTTTCCATGACACCTGCCCTAGTCCACAGCCTCTGAGGTCGCATCAGGGGAAATCTGAGGGAGATAAAAGATGGCGGGGGAAGGAATGGGGGCAACTCCATCTTCCCTAGTCTTCTCCTCTTTTGCTTTGGGGACCCCTGCCCTCAGCCCCTCTCCACTCTTGGCCCGTTGCCTTGGCCTCTTCCTGCCTTCTCGGACCTTTGTGTCCCCTCTCCGGGACCCATCCTTTGCTTTCCTCCCTTCAGCCCTTGTAAGGTTCCTGCTTCCTCTCTACTGCGTCCTTAAGTCCCTAGGTCTCCAAGGCACCATCCCTACCTCTCCTTTCTTTTGGCTTTTGGTTCTCTCGCTCAGGCCTCTCCCACTTCCTCCATTTCGCCCTACTCCAAGCATCCCTTCTCTTCTCCCCAGGCCAATGGATGGATGCGGGTGGAGAGGGGCAGAAGAATTAAATTAGGAAACTGGGCCTGCCCTCCAAGACCTGGTCTTGCCATGAGATGGTTGCATTTAGGCACCCACGACCCCATTCTGGATGAAGCACAGGACCAAAATCGGGGGGACAGTTAGTGAAGATGGGTGGGGGGGTGTACAGTGAGAGCGGATGTGGGGTAGGGTGGGGGGACAGCCTAGGCCTCTCTGCCCGTCAGAGTTTCCAGCCCTGGAGCAGCTGGAGTTTCCCCAGAGGCTGCCCACCCAAGGCCAGGC